AAGGGACAGGTATGTTCAAATCCCTGCTTCACCACCCATTCATGCTAGAGTTTGGGCAAAGACTGAGCCCTTCCGTGCCTGAGCCCTCATCTGTAAATGGGGGTCATTACAGTGCTGCCTCCCGCATCCGGTTATTGTACAGGTTAAACGAGTTCATACACAGCGTGGAGAACTGAGCCCTATAGCTCCCGAACACTTAGGTTGTCCCTAATTTCTTCTGATTATTATAAATTACTCTGTAAGGATCTGATGAGACCAGGCCCATGAAGCTCATTATCTAATTTAAAGTAGGTTGTACCCAGGAGCGATGGCTGGCTGGCTGATGCCTGTAATCCCTGCACTTTGCGGGGCCAAGGCAGGAGGACAGCTTGAGCCCAGGAGACAGAGACCAGCCTGGGCAACACAGCAAGAACCCATCTCTCTTAAAAAAAAAAAAAAAAAAAAAGAAAAGAAAAGAAAAGAAAGAAAGAAAGAAAAAACTCAAAAATTTAGCCAAGCATGGTGGTGTGATGGTGTGCGCCTGTCTGGTCCTAGCCACTCAGGAGGCTGAGGTGGGAGGATCACTTGAGCCCAGGAGGTAGAGGCTATAGAGATCTCACCAATGCACTCCAGCCTGGATGACAGGGCAAGACCCTGTCTCAAAAACAACAACAGAAAATAAGGGCTGGGCACCGTGCCAGCACTCTGGGGGCCGAGGTGGGAAAGATCGCTTAAGCCCAGGAGTTCGAGAACAGCCTGAGTAACGCTGTCTCTATGAAAAATTCAAAAATTAGTCAGGTGTGGTAGCACAAGCATGTAGTCCTAGCTGCTACTCAGGAGGCTGAGGTGGGAGAATCACTTGAGCCCAGGAGGTGGAGGTTGCAGAGCAAGCCACGATCATGCCACTGTACTCGAGTCTGGTGACAGAGCCAGAGCCAGACCCTGCCTTAAAAGAAAAAAACGCACACACACACACAAACCATAAAGCAGGATGCCCCACACAGATGAGGGAAGTAGAGAAGAGGATCAGCGGATCCCCAGGGTTGCATGAGTGACAAGGACTCAAGTTTGAGACGCTGCAGTCTGTATCCTCCCAGGAGCTCACAGACTGTGGGGGACGCCTACCAGTAGGGAGTCCACAGCCGCCTCCCCACTGTCACACTGACAAAGCCAGAATATGGGTGATCGCAGGGCTGGGCAGGGCAGGCCCCTCCCGGCACCCAGGCACCCTGAACAGTGAGTAGAGCAGTCATTGCCTGTGTGATACCTTAGAGGAGGAAGGGAAAGTGAGGCTTGGCTGGGCCATCTCCGTCAGTGATCGTCACCACAGCTCGGACCAGAGAGCTCTTTGTCAGCCTATTCCAAGCATCCTGCATGCATTCATAGGTTTCAACTTTACAGCAACTGTGAAGTGGGGACCACTGACATCCACAAGGAGCCTGAGCCAGAGTGATGTGCCAGGGCCACCCAGCCAGGAAGCTAAGGAGTCAAACCCAAGACTCAGACCTACACCCCCTGCTCATGGCCATCTGCCATACTGCCCACCTCAGGTGCGTCTGCCACCAGCAAGGCAGAAGCCTTCTGTGGCTCCCTAGCAAGCAGACACAGAAAAAGAAAGAGGGAAGCCTCTGTGGTCTGGCATGACTGCCCAGCCAGAAAGTGGGCTTCCCCTCTTCTCCCTACGCTCAGAGGGGATTTCCTCACCCAGGCGAGGGCTCTCTCCAGCTGCCTTCATTCCCACTTGTGTCAGGAGGCCTGGGCTCCTCAGCTAGTCCCTGGCTGGCCCCATGGAACTGCTGAGGTCACAGAGACCAGGGAGCACCAGGAGGGAGAGAAAGTGAGTCAGCACTTCCTTTCAGGAAGCTGTAGACCCTCAGCCCTAATGTGACTCGCTGTGGGCAGAGGCCCTGGAGCTGCAGATAAGGGCGCCTCAGGTCACTGTCGGCCCAGCTCACTGGACTATCTCCAGGGCCTGGCACAGGCAGGGAGGCTGAAAGCCTCTTCCTTTGCGTCTTCGTAACCCACCTGGAGGATCATCAGCACAGCTGATGTTGGAAGGCTTCACCTAATGCCCCGACTCTGGGACCTGAAAGGCCGCACCAAATTAACATAGAGTCCAGGTGTGGCTGGGCGTGGTGGCTCACACCTGTAATCACAGCACTTTGGGAGGCTGAGGCAGGTGGATCACTTGAGCTCAGGAGTTGGAGAACAGCTTAGCCAACATGGTAAAACCCCCTCTCTATCAAAAATACAAAAATTAGCTGGGTGTGGTGGCACATGCCTGTAATTTCAGCTACTCGGGAGGCTGAGGCAGGAGAATCACTTCAACCCAGGAGGTGTAGGTTGCAGTGAGTCAAGACTGCGCCCCTGCGCTCCAGCCTGAGAAACAGAGCAAGACTGTCTCAAAAAGAAAAAAAAAACAAAACCAAAAAAAAAAAAACCAAAAACCATATAGTCCAGGTGAGAATGCCAAAGGGATTTCAAATCAAGTCCTCATGTTCCCAGCCACCGCCCCCGACTGGGCTGAACCCCCCCCAACCCCCTTGTAGAGGCTGAACACAAGGCTGCAGGTCATCCACTGCCATCTTCACCACTCCCCAGCAAGGTCGGGTATACTGTGCTCATTTTACAGGTGAGGCCGAGTGGTCTTGGAAGTGAGTTAACCTGCCTGAGCCCTCTTATAAAATGGGGCCAGTGACATTCACTCCTTGGGGCAGCTGTCCTGACTAAATGCACATAAAGCTCTAAGCCCCATGCCTGACAATGCACGGCAGCGACTGTTTTCAGGATGAGAGTCCAGCATCTCAACCACCCTGGGGCCTCTCTCTCATTTCCCCTTTTCCCCAGGTTAGGGAGGAAATGAAATGGACGCATCCCACTATGTGTATGTGTTGGGGGGTTGTCTTGAGGAAGGTACCTTGGTTTATGGATCCAGGATACTGGGTGGATGGCCCCCTGACTTTGGACAGGATCATGCAGCCTGGAGCTCAGGACACTCAGAGACACGCCTGATCCCTGATCAGGAGGGCCTTGCTCTGAGGGCCATCCTGCACAGTTCCTGTCACCCAGAAGCCAGGCATGGGCCCACTTCCTGTTCAAACAGCTCTGAGTAAATGGATGTCCAAGGTTGCAATGGAGCTTGACCTCATCTGTAGAGACGGCAAGAGCCCCAGAAAGGGTACCCTGGAATCACCCTTGGAGAGTACACGTTAAAAATTTGGAGTGTACCTGGGCTGGGGCTTAGAGATTCTGGTCCATCTGGTGCACTTTGAGAAAGGGCGGGCCGGAGATGGCGCCTCCTGCTACACTCAACCTCCTCTCCTTGATCCCAAGCTGAGTCAGGGATGCTTTGGGCAGAGGACCAACGCCGATCATGTGTCCACCTTTGTCTACAGGATCAAGTCCAAATTACCTGAGGCCAGGCCTCAGGTTACTCCAAGAACCACCCACCCAACCTTATCTCCTCCCTCCTGACGCACGTCTTCAGTCATTTCAGGTCTCCAGGCATCTGCACATACTGTCTCTTCCCCTAGGAGTGTCCTGCTCCCCTGCAAGGGCCTGGTCATGAAGTAAGACTCACTCCTAAATTGCTCTTTCAAAGATGCCCTGTGACAGCCAGCTGGACAAGACCTCCCACCTCATCCTCTCCCCTCCACACACCTGAAGAATGCTACCACCGTCCTCTGCGACCAATGTCCTTGAAACGTACTCTCCCCACTCCGGAGTGTGCGTTTCTTATTCTCTGGGTCTAAACACATGTAGAGGTTCAGCAAATGTTGAGAGAAAGAGAGAGAGGTAGAAGGACAGGGTGAAGGAGAGGAAACGGGAGTGAGGAAAGGAGAAAAGGGGGAAAGAGAGGGAAGAGGAAGGGAAGGAGAAAGGAAGAAAGGGGGCAAGCTGTGAGCTCAGACAGCCCAGGGTTGAGGAGAAAATCACTCCGGAACACACCTGCCCAGCGCCTACCAGTCTAGAACTCAAGTGACTGAGCCTCGCAGTTCTCATCTGAAAAGTGGGGGATAATGCAATACCCACCTCCGAGGCTGACGCAGAGTTAAATGATACAATCCAGGCCAAGCCATTACAAGGGTGCCAGGCACAGGCACTTGACACCAACAGCACAAAATGACTATTATTTGCTCTCACTGTAGCCCTTCCAGCATCCAAGCACACAGGCGCCTTCAGTAAGAGTTGATTAGGTAAGACCTGAGACCCCGGCCCGGGATCCCTCACACTTCCAGACCCAGACTCTCCATGCACACGTTTGGAAACCTGCCCTAGGCACGGCGTGGGAAGGGGCAGTGTGGGCTCTCGCCCCTGCACACCTGGGGAGAATGTGGAGGGAGGAGCGTCCTGTCTTGGGACTACCACCCACTCCAGGGCTCGGCGTCCTCAGCCACAGCTCCCTCCTGGTGATTCAGCCCGGTGCGGGTCGCTTGTTTGGAGGGATAATGACAGGGCAGCTGCTGGGGCCAGCGCCGCAAGGGCCCTCTCCCGACCGACCCGGGAAAAACAAAGCCATCAGACGGTAGGGGGCCGGTCGGCCGCGACCAGGGGCTGAAAGGGGACCCGGCTCCCAACCCCTGGCCAGGCCAGCCTCAGAGGCTGTGCTGGTCGCCCCTGAGGTGGGGGGCCACCCAGTCCCGGCCCGGAGCCTCGCCTCAGTGTGTCGCGCCACAAGGGGGGCGCAGGAGCCTCAGCAGTCCAGGGGCCGGAGGAGGGGACTGGAAGGACGTAGCAGGGAAGCCCAGGAGCCCCGACCCCCAGCCGTGGTTTGCCACCTGCCCCCGGGCCGGCTCACCAAGTCCAGATCCGCCGCCAGGGACCGACTTCTGGGTCAGGGCCCGCCGGGTCAGCTGACCGCGCGCCACCGCCCCGCCCCGGAAGCCACAGGCCCCGCCCCCACGCCGCGCGCCAGGCTGAGCGGGTCGGGAGGCGCCCCTGGGGCCGCGAGGCGCCCCTGGGGCCGCGTCTGCTGTTCCCGCCCCTCACCGCCTTCGGGCTCCGCCCTGGGCCTCCGGGCTCCAAACACGCAGGCGCCGCGGCCATGCTGAGTGCCGTGTCTCGCGCTGCTCCACGCGCTGCGCTCCACTGTGCGCGTCGCTCCCCGCCGCCCGAGGCCCGCGCGCTCGCCATGTCCCGGACATCGCCACCGCGGGCCGCCACGGTGCTGGGCACCATGGAGATGGGGCGCCGCATGGGCCCGCCTGCCAGCGCTGCGGCTGTGCGCGCCTTCCTGGAGCGCGGCCACACGGAGCTGGACACTGCCTTCATGTACAGCGACGGCCAGTCCGAGACTATCCTGGGCGGCCTGGGGCTTGGGCTGGGCGGCGGCGACTGCAGAGGTAACAGTGTCCTCTGGTCCTCCCCCTGCACCGTGCAGAGCTGAGCCCAGCCGTGCACCGACCCACTAGGGCCCAGCGGCGGGCAGCACCGACAGCTTCGTCCCTTGCGCCACCCCTTTCCACTTCGCAGCTCTGGAAACCCCAGGACAACTAGACGGTGTTTTGCCCTGACTCCTTTTCCCCACTCTCCTTCCCCTGGGAATTGCAGCGCGAGAGTATACCGCCAGCCTGGTCTGGCCCATCGCTTCCCACCTCCATTGGTGCTCCGGCCTCCAAACCTGCTAGGTGTCCGTAACCGGTCCCCATCCAGGCTCTCTGCCTGTCCTCTACCCCTTCGTTGCCATCATCACCCATGCATTCCCTGGGCACCCTTTTCTCTTCCTGGCCATTCCTTATCCCCTAGACTTTGCCCTGTTCAGCTGGCAGTACCTCTGGCTCTCTCAGGGAGAACTGTGGTGATGCCAGCGTAGGCTGGCGGGGAGAGTAGGGTTGGTAGGGTGGAAGTGCAGACGGGTGAGGGGGTAGGGCCTTTCTGTCCACTCTGTGCCAGGAATTGACATGGGGCCATAGGAGAGAAAGTGACTCCAGCCCTCCACAGGGAACTCAGAGTCTAGTGGGGAAGATTGAAGTAATGATTGTTGGAGAGCCCAGAAAGAGTGCTTTGGGAGCTGTAGGCCGGGGAGAGATACTAGGGAAACGTCAGCAAATGCCGGAGCTCGGCCTTAAAGGCTCAATAGTGGCTCACGCCTGTCATCCCAGCACTTTGGGAGGCCGAGGTAGGCAGTTCACAAGGTCAATCGAGACCATTCTGGCCAACATGGTCAAACCCCATCTCTACTAAAAATACAAAAATTAGCTGGGTGTGGTGGTGTGCGCCTGTAGTTCCAGCTACTCAGCAGGCTGAGGCAGGAGAATCACTTGAATCCCGGAGGCAGAGGTTGCAGTGAGCCGAGATCTTGCCACCACACTCCAGCCTGGCTACAAAGCGAGGCTCCGTCTCAAAAAGAAAAAAAAAAAAAAAAATAGCAGTTTGGAGGAGAACAAGAGAAAGGAGTATTCGAGTCTGCGCAAAGACTTGGTTTGGAAAAGGAATGTGCGTGATGTGTGAAAGGAAGCCCAGTGACCAGGTGTGGCATGAGTGGAGGATGGAGGGGACTGTCCCTCATGAGCCTGGCGCCATTGATAGCCCTGGAGAGGGTGCCTGGCAAGCAGTGAGGGCCCAGGAAATGTGGGCTGTTACCCTTTCCATGCTTCATCTACTCAACCATCCGGATGCTCTAGCTTCCCCCACCCCAAGAGAGGTTCTCTCTCTGGGTCCTCCTTAGAGTCATAGCGTGTGGTGGGTCAGGGGAAAAGAGGGCGAGTGTGAATCTCAGGCCCACGCTCTGTCTAGTTCACCTGGCTCCATGTTATTTATTATTATTATTTGAGACTGAGTCTTGCTCTGTCACCCAGGGTGGAGTGTAATGGCACGACCTCGGCTCACTGCAACCCCTGCCTCCCAGATTCAATTGATTATCCTGTCTCAGCCTCCTGAGTAACTGGGATTACAGGTGCACACCACCACGCCCAACTAATTTTTGTATTTTTAGTAAAGATGGGGTTTCACCATATTGGCCAGGCTGGTCTCAAACTCCTGACCTCAAGTGATCCGCCCACCTCAGCTTCCCAAAATGCTGGGATGACAGGCGTGAGCCACTGCACCCAGCCAGGTTGCATATTATTAATAATGAAGGTTTTGTTTCTGAGTTTGTTTTTCTTCTCCAACCCTTCCCCACTTCCATCTTTGAGGCCAGGAGCTCGCTGGACCAAAGTCCTCATGCCAGACCTGAGGCAAAGTTCATGCCAGGAATGCCTGCGGGGCTCTGAGGACATGGAGAAAATCTGGGTGAGAAACTGTGGAGTTTGTTCTCTCCCGTGTCCCAGCTGATCTCATGACACCCCTGTGAGCTACTGAACTGACTTGGCCAAGTATGAAAAGTGCAAAACCCATCCACCTACCAATCCAGATACCTGGGGTTCTTTTTTTTTTGAGACAGAGTCTCACTCTGTCGCCCAGGCTGGAGCTCAGTGGTGTGATCTCAGCCTCCTGAGTAGCTGGGACACGTTCCACCAGGCCCAGCTAATTTTGTATTTTTAGTAGAGATGGGGTTTCATAATGTTGGCTAGGCTGGTCTCAAACTCCTAACCTGAGGTGATCCACCCACCTCAACCTCCCAAACTGCTGAGATTACAGGCGTGAGCCACCCCGCCTCGCCCAGCTGGGGTTCTTTTTTAGTTTTTATTTTTGTAGAGACAAAGTCTTGCTACATTGCCCAGGATCATCTCAAACTCCTGGGCTCAAGTGATCTTTCCTACTCAGCCTCCCAAAGTGCTGGGTTTACAGATGTGAGCCGCTGTACCTGGACCAACAGCTAGGGTTCTTTATAGGGGAAAGAACAGTGCAAAATTAACTCATTTCCAAGCTGCTTGCATGCATAACACTGTTGTCATAGCGATGTATCGCCACATGGTTGGATGTATGCTCATGCTCTGTGAGTCGGAAAGGGGAGGGGAGGATTGTAATTACATTCTGCTCAGTTTGCCTTCTAAGCTGTCAAATTGATCTCTACTAGTGCGCCACATTCATGTGGCTGAATCTGTTTTGTAAATTCTTCCAGGCCTGCCCCCTTGACATCTTTCTCTGTACTGCAGCCAAGTGTGAATACAGGTGACTGGTTCACACCCTGAAAAAACCTAGAATGATCAAGCTCAGATTCAGTGGGATGGTATTTAAGAACCTTTGGGATCATGTCTGTCCCGTCTCTTGTCCTGTGTCCCACTGCTCCTTGCTCTGGAATTTATGCTTTTATAACTTAGACTTGAAGGTTTGGAGCCTCACATACTGTTTTCTTGCCTGACTTTGCATGGGTTCCCATGCTCTGGAATGTACCTTCTGCTCTTCCTTGTTTGCTGGAACTCTGTTTGGGGGTGATCCCCTAGGGAGAGCCTTCCCTGGAGTCCCCAAGTTGGCCTCATGCATCTCATCTGGTCTCCTTGGCACTGTGGGTGTTCCCCTCCTGTGCTTACCATGGTGTACCTTCCTCTAGACTGGGCTCCAGGAGGGCAGAGAGCCATTGTGTTCAGGTCATCTCTGCATACTTAGTCTCTAGTACAAGGCCTGGCACAGCCAGCAGTTTTGGTGACTAATGATAGTTATTCTAATAGGTGAACATTGAGAACTCACATATATGACACTATTTAATCCCCAGGACCCCCCAGTAAGGATAGTTTGATTATTATCACCCCATTTTATGAATCATGGAATTGAGGCCAAGTGAATAGAAGTAATTTAGCCAGGGTTACATGGTTAGCAAAAGGCCCTAATAGGTCACTTAATCATTCCATTCTCTCTCCAAGTGAAAATTGCCACCAAGGCCAACCCTTGGGATGGAAAATCACTAAAGCCGGATAGTGTTCGGTGCCAGCTGGAGACGTCATTGAAGAGGCTGCAGTGTCCCCGAGTGGACCTCTTCTACCTACACGCACCTGACCACGGCACCCCAGTGGAAGAGACGCTGCGCGCCTGCCACCAGCTACACCAGGAGGTGAGGGGGCACTCCAAGCTCCGAAGGCAGGCTCCTGCCCCTTTCTTTATCCTGATCCTACTCTTGAGAGCAGATGCACCAGGGCAATTCCAGGGTGGAGCAGAGAGCAGCTCCATTACCCAGGGCCCCACCCTGGCCTCCCCTTCCTGGTCTCTTGGGCTATACAGGGTTCTGACTGTGGCCTCACCTGTGCAGGGCAAGTTTGTGGAGCTTGGCCTCTCCAACTATGCCTCCTGGGAAGTGGCTGAGATCTGTACCCTCTGCAAGAGCAACGGCTGGATCCTGCCCACTGTGTACCAGGTGAGGGCCAGGGCTGCAGAGGCCACAATCTCCAGGGCTCCTGCTCATCCTGGGCTGTCTTTGCTCCTCTCACTGCCCCCCTTGCCCTCTGCATAGCAGCCACTCCCCTGCTGAAAGCCTACAGATGGCTCCCAGGTACCCTCAGGATGCCGTTCAAGCTCCTCAGCCTTGCCACTGGGCATCTGCTTCCTTCCTGCCTGAGTGTGCACCTTGGTCCCTTTCTTCCCCACCTCCTTTTGTACTTCAGCGTGGAACGCATTTCCCCTGCCCTCCTCCCTGAGAGAAGCACTCGGGCCTTACATAGATGTCTATTCCTTTGGAAGCCTTTCTAGAAAGCCCCACAGGAGTCTCCAGCCTCCAAACCTTATCTTCATATGTTCAGCAAGTACTTTTCAGTTCCTCCTTTGATCATACAACCTAACTTTATTGAAATTAGCTGCGTTCTTTTCAATTTTTTTAAACTTGAGTATAACACCTCGTGGAGGCAGGAGTTTTATGACACCTGCTTGTGGTTGTAACCAGTGTCCAGCATGGAGTTCATACACCAGATACTTGTAGAAAGATGTCATTCCACTTCAATTTTCTGTCCTTGGGCCTAACACCCTCTCTCCATCCCCTCCTAGCAGTAGTGATGTTAGAATATTGCTGAAGTCCTGGGCTCATGTTGCTTTAGAGTTTTAGCAGGGGAAGGCTACAGTTCCTTTTCTTGACATGTCTACCCTCTCCCCGGGGTCCCTCTCCCTGCAGGGCATGTACAACGCTACCACCCGGCAGGTGGAAACGGAGCTCTTCCCCTGCCTCAGGCACTTTGGACTGAGGTTCTATGCCTACAACCCTCTGGCTGGTACGTGGAGCATTCCTGGCCCTGTCCCAGCCTGTTCCTGACCCACTGATGCCCAGCCCAGGATTTAGGAAGCAGGGAGGGTTTGACAAGAGGCTGGGCTGCATCCTTCACCCCTCCTGGGTCCCTGCCTCTCCCCTAGTCCAGAGTCCTGAGGGACATGGCAGCTTCTGGGGCACTCTGGGCCCAGGAGCTGATTGCTGCCTTTCCACAGGGGGCCTGCTGACTGGCAAGTACAAATACGAGGACAAGGATGGGAAACAGCCCGTGGGCCGCTTCTTTGGGAATAGCTGGGCTGAGACCTACAGGAATCGGTGAGCCGGGGTGGGCTTGGTGAGGATGGCTGGTGTGGGTTCAGCTTGATGTGGAATGAAGTCCTGGGCTGCTCCTGGTGTAAGACCTTCCCTTGCTGTTTGCACCTCCTCCCCTGCATTCCTGCAAGAATTCCCAAATCCTCGGTGGGTTTTCTTGTTGTCTTGGGACCTCCAGGAGGAAATGAGGATCCCTGGATGTTGGGACCTTGAAGTCGTAGCTCTTTCCTGAGCAATCACCCGCTAAGAAGGAAAGAGCGATCCCAGGATGGGCCAGGCACGGTGGCCCACACCTGTAATCCCAGCACTTTGGGACACCAAAGTGGGAGGATTGCTTGAGCTCATGAGTTTTTTTGTTTTGTTTTGTTTTTTGTTTTGAGATGGAGTCTTGCTCTGTTGCCCAGGCTGGAGTGTGGTGGCACGATCTCAACTCACTGCAATCTCTGCCTCCCGGGTTCAAGTGATTTTTCTGCCTCAGCCTCCCGAGTAGCTGAGACTACAGGCACGCACTACCATACCTGGCTAATTTTTGTATTTTTAAATAGAAACGGGGTTTCACCATATTGGCCAGGCTGGTCTTGAACTCCTGACCTCATGATCAGCCTGCCTCGGCCTCTGGCCTCCCAAAGTGCTGGGATTACAGGCTTGAGCCACCACACCTGGCCAAGTTCATGCATTCAAGACCAGCCTAGGCAACGTGATCTTTAGCAAAAAAAATTCAAAAAATTCACCAGGCATGATGGTGCACACCTGTAGCCCCAGCTACTCAGGAGGCTGAAGCAGGAAAATTACTTGGGCCTAAGAGGTCAAGGCTGCAGTGAGCCATGATCATGCCACTGCACTCCAGCGTAGGAAACAGAGGAAGACCATGTGTCAAAAAAAAAAAATAAGAGGGGAGCTTCTGCCCCCGTAGCCACAGCCAGAGCTTCCGCCGCCATGCTGGAGCTTCCGCCTCCGAAACTAAACGGAGTGAAGTCACGTTCGGTTTTCTCTAACGTTGGGAAACGATGTAGCTGACACCCATCGTGGAGATGAATCAGTTTTTATCGGGTTTTTAACACTAAGTCTTGAGGAATACAATGGTGACCACAAAGGCAAACATTATACTGTGGAGACACACAGTTTTGAGACATCTGTGACCAGGCATGTCACGTGTGAATATACCACTGGACTTCAAAGCAATACATTGTAACTCTTTTTTTTTTGTCATTTTACAACAGATTCATTTTATTTTCATCACCCTGGGGCGCACCCTGTTGTTGAGCTCTCTGGGTCAGACCTCTGGAGACTTCTCTGGTGGTTCCTAGTCTCTAGGCTTGCTCTGAAATTACTCGTGCTCAGGGAGAGAGTTGAGGTGGTTGGCGTCCCCTCACTCTGTGCGTCCAGCTGCAGCGCCTCCTGATGGAGTTCCTCATTGAGTTGGTCACCGTGGCCGGATGGTGTTGGCCTGCTCCCTTCCTCACATGTTCTGAAAGCTGTGGGTTTTTTAGCATTTCACTTCCTGGCTCTCCCTCGAGTTGATTGTCTCTTCTTCACTACCTTGGGACTCTTCCTTGGGCTTCCGGACATCGGTTGAGAGGAGGATGTTCTTCTTCCCTGGTCCCCTTGGTGGCGGCTGGTGGTTGCTCTTCGACAGCTGGACTGGAGGCTCTCGGTTTTCTGTTCATCTTCAGCAAGTCAATGTCTCTCAAGGGTCTCACGTTGCAGCATCTTACCAGAGGCCACTGGGCCTGCAGGTCCAGTAACCGCGGAGTGCACCTGAACTCAGCAGTCTCATTCTGGTTGGCACTTGTCAGCAGAAGCCGATGCCTGCCCATCAGTTCTTTACTCCGAGGTGTTAGAGTGGAATAAAAATATGAATACTTGTTTAAAAAAAAAAGAGAGAGAGAGATCCCTGGAGGGAGACCTGCCCCGTCTGAGTGGCCTTCATGTCCCTAGGGAAAATAAGAGCAGGCTGTGAGTCCTCAGGAGTAAAGATTCATCGTGGTCTCTGGTGAGGAGGCTGGCATCCTGGGTGCTTCTGGTGCCCAGTGAAGTGGGAGACCTATGACTCTAGAGGACACCGGCTCCTCAGGACCGCAGGGTGTGGGTGGGGCAGTGGCCCTGGTTGGCTCTTTGGTGATGGCTCCCAGTGTAACCCCCAAGGTACTGACCCCTGTGCCACTGTCCCCCCTTCCCAGCTTCTGGAAGGAGCACCACTTCGAGGCCATTGCCCTGGTGGAGAAGGCCCTGCAGGCTGTGTATGGCGCCCACACCCCCAGCATGACCTCGGCTGCCCTCCGGTGGATGTATCACCACTCACAGCTGCAGGTAGACAGCGACCTGGGTGCTCAGCTTCTGCCCTTCCATGGGGACGAGCATCACCTTTAGGTGAAGGCCAAAGCATTTGATTTCTCAATTCCTCTGAAATTTCTTACTTCCAGTTCTCAAAACACTCTTCCCCCTCTGAGTGCCAGGATTTGTAATGAAGGCTTCATTTCAGGGATTTCCTTATTCCTTAGGCTTTGTGGGGTATGATTATCCCAGTGTTATTGATGAGGAAACTGAGGTTCACCCAGCTGTTAAAGGGGCTGACATTTTAACACAGATTTAACTGTAAAGCCCACTCGTCTCGCCCTTTTGGTTTCCCTCTCTTGGTGCCTCATGTCTTCCTGGTTAAAGCTTATTTCCTAGCTGGTGGCGGTGGCTCACGCCTGTATTCCAGCACTTTGGGAGGCTGAGATGGGAGGATTGCTTGAGCTCAGGCATTTGAGTCTAGCCTGGGCAGCAAAGTGGGACCCTGTCTCTACAACAAATCAAAACAATTCGTCAGGCGTGGTGGCTTACTCTTGTGTTCCCAGCTACTCAGGAGGGGGGGAAGATCACTTGAGCCTGGGAAGTCAAGGCTGCAGTGAGCTGAGATCACACCACTGCACTTTAGCCTGGGGACAGAGCAAGACCCTGTCTAAAAAAACAAACAAACAACAGCAAAACTAACAGCAACAAACTTATCTGCAGCTTCAGCCTTACATGTTGCATAGCGTCTGGCGTATATCCGGTAGATGTTCAGTACATGGAAGCTGCGTTTTACATAAGTTTTCTCTCATACTAATGCTGAAAATAGAGGAAGAGATGGACTGTCCAAACATACTTAACTTAGCCTGCTTTTTAATTTTTTTGAAACAGGGTCTCACTCTGTCACCCAGGCTGTAGAACAATGGCGCGCTCATAGCTCACTCCAGCTGCAACGTCCTGGGCTCAAGTGATCCTTCTGCCTCAGCCTCCCTGGTAGCTGGGAAAAGGCATACACCACCACCCCCGGCTAATTTTGTTTTGTTGTTTTTTTGTAGAGACAGAGTCTCACTATGTTGCCCAGGCTGGTCTTGAACACTTTGGCCCAAGTGTTCTTCCCACCTCGACCTTCCAAAGTGCTGGGATTACAGGCGTGAGCCACTGTGCCCAGTCAACTTAGCCATTTTTACACAGCTGCTAGGGGGCAGAACTGGTTCATGAATGTAGGTCTGTCTGGAAGCGCCCTGTGGCAGTAGGGGAGAGGATACAGGATTCAAGTCACATGGGTACAGCTATCCAAGGCACCTTAAGTTCTTTCTGGACATATGGCGTATAAGAAAGCCCAAATCTCAGCAGGGAGGTGGCCGGGAGGGGTGTGAGTGGAGTCGCCGTGCAGCGGAAGAGGGTTGAAGTCTGGCTGTCTCCCTTGCAGGGTACCCACGGGGACGCGGTCATCCTGGGCATGTCCAGCCTGGAGCAACTGGAGCAGAACTTGGCAGCGGCGGAGGAAGGGCCCCTGGAGCCGGCTGTCGTGGACGCCTTTCATCAAGCCTGGCATTTGGTTGCCCACGAATGCCCCAACTACTTCCGCTAGGCCCACTGTGGCTCAGGCTGCCCCAGGCTTTTCTGTCACCCCTTCTATTTTCTCATGCTAACCAGTCTTGGCCTTAAGCTGATTTAGCAGTCTTTCTGGATTGTCTGGATCCATGCATTATTTTTCTAGCTTCCTGTCTTGCTCCCTGTTCACTTTACGCCGTGAAAGGCGGGGATGAGTCCCACTTGGGCATTTCCTGTTGAATAAAGCAGGCACTTGACCTGGCTGTAGCCCAGGTCTTGAGTGAACCCCCGAAACTTGTTTCCCATCCTGCCTGGGGATGAGAAAGGGCAGAACCGTGGGCAGGAGTCTTCAGAGGGCAGAGGTAGTGGGTGGGTCTCAGGAGCACACTGTCCTCCCCAGGTCTCCTCGGTCCCCAGCCTGAATGCCTGCCTGACCTCTCAGCATTGAGGTGCCTCTCACTCCTCTACACGTGATAGGAAAGAGGGTCGTCCACCTAGAGTACATTTTCTCTAATTCAGAATTGCCTCAGTGAATTCTTAGGAATGAAATAACTGCAACAAAAAACTACCATTAGAGCCACTACCAAGAAGAAGAACACTTCCTGGATCTGCGAAACATCTCGAATGCTCTCAGCCTTGGCTTACCGTGTCTTAACTAAAGTCTCTTGTCTCTTCACCCATAAGGTGCTCAGCCTTGGCTCTGGGCCTCCTGTTCGGCATGGCGACATAGGCAGCCAAGGTCATTTCCCTTGGAAACACCTCCTCCACACAGGAGGCACGAGGGCTGAGAGGAAGAATCCTCGGTTCAGTGGTTGCTGAGCCTGCTGCATTCCCAGTGCAGCAAAATCCCTCCAGCCCTGGGCAGGGCAGCAGGCAGCACTCGGAGCAGCTTCTTCACGCAATGAAAGAGGCCCACCCTGGAAATGTACTGTTTCATTTATATTTATTATTTGTTCTTGAGACAGGTTCTCACTCTGTCGCCTAGACTGGAGTGCAGTGGCGTGATTATTGCTCACAGCAACTTTGACCTCCGGGGCTCAAGGGATCCTCCCACCTCAGCCTCCTGAGAAGTTTTTATTTTTTTGTGGAGCAGAGGTCTCACTATGTTGTCACCTTCTTTTCTCTTTACCCATAACAAAACAGATGCTCACCCACGTGGAGTGGCGTATCAGTTATCTTTGCACAACAAACCACACTAATGAGTTGCTTGAAAAGACAAAATCCAAGGCTGGCTCGGTGGCTCGTGGCTATAATCCCAGCACTTTGGGAGCCCAAGGCAGGTGGATTGCTTGAGCTCAGGAGTTTGAGACCAGCCTAGGCAACATGGTGAAACCCTGTCTCTACCAAAAATACAAAAAATATGCGTGTGGTGGCACATACCTGTAGTCCCAGCTACTCAGGAGCTGAGATGGGAGGATCGCTTGAGCCCTGGAAACAGAAGTTGCAGTGAGCCAAGATCACGCCACTACACTCTAGCCTGGGTGACACAGTGAGACCCCATCTCAAAAAAAAAAAAAAAAAATCCTTCAAACTGATAAAAAGATTTTGATGTAATTTATATTACTCTCAGGTGGCTTTTTCTTAATGCTGAAATGGACAAATTAATCCTGAAGCTCATATGGAAATTCAGGGGACGCATGGGAACCAAAACAGTCTTGAAAAAAATCACATGGTTGGAGGACTCATGCTTTCTGATTTCAAAACTTACTACAAAGCTATAGTAATAAAGACAGCGGTTCTGGCATAAGAATAGACAGAGCAACTGGACAGAACTGAGAGTCCAGAAGTAAACTCTTACTGATTTAGAGTTGATTGCCAAGAGACTTCAGCAGGGAAAAGAATCATCTTCACCAACATCTGGATGTCCTCATGCAAAAGAATGAAGTTGGACCCCTTCCCCATGCCATACACAAAAAAAATTAACTCAAATGATCAGCCATCTAAGTAATAAGGTAAAACTCTTCGAAGAAAATATTGGAGTAAGTGTGACTTTGGATTAGGCAGTGGTTTCTTAGATATTGACACCAAAAGCACAAGTAGCAAAAGAAAAAGTCAACACCATCAAAGTTTAGAATGTTCATGCTTCGGAGAACAATATCAAGAAAGTGAAAAAAGCCACAGAATGGGATAGTGTTTTGCAAATTACCTATCTGTTAAGGAACTTGTAGCTAGAATACATACAGGACTCTTATAGCTTAATAAAAATGAAAACCTACCCAGGTGCAGTGGCTCATGCCTGTAATCCTAGCATTTTGAGAGGCCAGACGGGCAGATGACTTGAGCCCAGGAGTTCAAGATCAGCCTGGGCAACATGACGAAACCCTGTCTCTGCAAAAAATACCAAAACAATTAGTCAGGTAAGGTGACAGGCACCTGTGGTCCCAGCCAACCGGGAGGCAGAGATGGGAGGATCTCTTGGGCCCAGGAGGTAGAGGCTGCAGTGAGCCAAGATCACACCACTGCACTCCAGCCTGGGCAACAGAGCCAGAGCCTGCCTCAAGGAAAAAAAAAATCCCAGTTAAACAATGGGCAAATGACTGGAATAGACCGTTTTCCACAGAGATGATACAGATGGTCAGTAACCACATAGAAAGCTGCTCAAAATCAGTAGTTATCAGGGAGAAGCAAATCAAAACCCCTTCAAATCTGCTAAGCACTAGGATGATCAGTCAATAAAATGCAGAAAATAACAAGTGTTGAGGGTTTGGAGAAATAGGAGCCTTTTTATTGTCCTGCCGTTGGGACTATAACATGGTGCAACCACTTTGGAACATTCTGGCAGTTTTTTTAAAGATTAAGCATTTATATGACTCAGAAATTTTACTCCATAGGTATATACTTACAAGAAATGAAATATATGTCCTTATTAAAAATTACATGAATGTTATAGCAGCATTATTCACAATAGCCAGAAAGTGGAAACTGCCCAAATGTCAATCAATAGATGAACGGATAAACAATATATCTGTATGTACAATGGGTTATTTTTCAAAAATAAAAAGGAATGAACTATGAAACATCTACAGTGTGGACCAACCTTAAAAACATGGCAAGTGAAAGAAGCCAGTCACAAAAGGTCTCATTGTATGATTCCATTTATATGAAGTATCTGGAATAAGCAAATCTATTAGACACAGAAAGTAGATGAGTGGTTGCCTAGGACTGAGAGGGACTTTGGGAGGAAATGGAGATTCACAGCAACTGAGTAGAGTTTCTTTTGGGGAGGTGATGAAGGCACTCTGAAATTGACTGTGTTGGTTGTACCATTCTGAATACACTAAACACCATTAAATTATACACTTTAAGTGGGTCAGTTGTATATAGTGTCTCAATTATGTGTTAAAAAAAAAAAAAAAGAACCCAGAAATCTGTTAGGGCAGGGCTCAGTGGGGAAGATCCATTTTTCTGGGAGCCACCCGGGTCACACAAGTCTAGGAACTCAAAAGGAAATCACAAGTGCAGGACTGGAGTCACATGGGCAAGTGTGACTAACCCCAATCACTTAATTCCTCTGGTTCCATGTCTGGGGTCACACCTGCGACCATGGGCGGCATGTTTAACAAGATGCTGGAACCCAGGAACCAAGGAAGGAAAACAGTAGTGGTGGCGCCCTCACTGTCTCCCTCTCCACTCTGGGTCACACCAAAAGGAAGGAGATAAAAGGGATGCCTATTTCTCACTTCTCTTTTTAGATGATCATTTTCAGCCTGTACTCCTCTGAGTGCATTCCGAAGCACTGGGACTCCTTTGACCCTGAGACATTGAAGAAAAAGAAGCTAATTTTTTTTTTTTTTTTTTTTTTTGCATAAGCACATG